TTGACATCTTGAATAATTTTTTTTGAGTCAGCATATTGAACTATTTTATGCCACCAATTAACTTCTTGATTATATCGATCATTTTCACTGCTGGCATACTTTCTGAGTGTACCCACAACAAACAAGGCTTCTTTCGATCGAGTAAAAGCTACATTGATTCTTCGTCTATCGTTGAAAAAGCCGACATTTTCACTGTCACGCACACATGAAACTATAATGAAATCTTGTTCCCTGCCTTGGGAACCATCAATAGTCATTACTTCTATTTTATTCTGTAACTCAGATCGCAAATGTTCCATTTGTTCTTTGTAAGGTGTAATCACACCGATAGACTTCAATGAATTCGATTGATTGTGGCTTGTACCATTTTGAGTTCTATTTACTTTGGACAGTTTTTGAAGTAAGTATTGACAAATATATTTGATGAATGACGATTCTTTTTCATTTCGGATAGAAATTCGTTTTATTTCCTTCGACGCAACCAAATTGTAGAAGAAGATTCGTGGGCCAGAATAATTTTGATTCCAACTAGTGAAAGATGTGGACGATGCGAGTTCACCATGGTAAAATAGCGTATTGGCTAAATCACAAATATCGGGATGCATTCGATATTGTGCTTTGAGCATGGTAATTATTTGAGCCGGACCTTCTTCGAAAATGTTATATAAACGATTGTAAAGCGATAGACTCAATGGATGATCTTTACAACATGTACGATTTCGACTTAGAACAGTCGGTGGAAGTTGATTATGATCACCGATTAGAATGATTTTACTACAGCAAAAACGAAGGACATTTAGACAATCTGGCTCTTGACTCTGGCCAGCTGAAATAAAGACAACAAAAAATATGCGATTAAAATTCAAATGATAATCTGAATATACTAACCTTCATCGATAATAATGAAATCAACTTTGTTTTTAAGAAAACCTAATCGTGAACTCGCACAATTATTTAGTGTTGACACAATTATCTTGGCGTTTTCGAGAATATCTTTTGCAATCTTGCTTGTATTGAAAGTCTTACGTTGTGGTTCGTTAGTAAGCATTTGAAATACAGTCTTATGAATCATGAATTCGTGGAAATGTTCGCATAAATTTTCGTCTTCTGGTGGTTGTCCACCAACTCGAACTAAGATACCTAAATAATTATTCAAAGATTGATGAAAAATAATAGAGATGAAGTCATAGTAATTTACCATCTGTATACGGTATCTTCTGATGACTAAATTCATCGAGAATACGGCGAGTAAGTTCATTGCATGCATTATTGGATGGAGCACAAATCAATAACTTGTTTCCAACAAATAATTGATCTAGTAAATGTAGAACAATACCAGCAATCGTACGACTTTTTCCAGTTCCTAATTCAACAGAAAGACATTGATGAAAATTGGTTAGAACTTTGAAAAAAAAACAAGCATTGATGACTTTTATTACCTGGAGGTCCGAAGATCATGTGCAAACGTCCTTCTTCACTATTGAACATATGTGAAGCTGTATGAATGATACTCAATTGTTGATCATTAAAATGTTTCAGAGATTCAGTATTTGATGAATGAGTTATTTCCGTTTTTATCGGTTGAAAGTATGAATTTTCATTGGTCGGTTCGAGCAAACTTTGTAATCCTGGCCATCTGTTAAGTGTGTTTACAGCACTGATCATTCGAGCCGATGAAGTAATACTTGTCACTTTATTAACTTCTAGGCTTTTCCTTTTGTATCTAACTAGATATTGTTGAACAGCCTCTCCACACTCTTCCGAAACATAAATTCCAATTTCGAGCTTCAATTTGATTTTTATCGAAAGAAATCCAGCGTTCGACAATGTAGCCTTATGTTTTCTCTCTAATTTCTCTGGATCTTCAATGTCCAACTGATGCGCATGAATAACAATACCAAAATACATTTTATTATGAATCGTAATTAGAATCAGATCGAATAAGCTAAGTCTATTATCCAAGTAATTAAACGAATCATCTAGAGTGTTATTGATAAAACGAGATTAGTATCAGATTGAGATAATTTTAACTTACCAAAAGTTATTTGAACATATCCGATAATCAATGCAACTTCATCTCTATCTCTAATTAGTTCATTTTCTGCAAGTTTTTCTTTCCTAATAATGTTTATATCATCCAGAGTAATCTTGTACTTATCGAAATCCGGTTCATTATTTTGATAATCATGAACTATTGAAGCCCATAGTTCTTCATATAATAATGATTCAAAATACTTTCGATAACGACTGAAATTTGGAAATTTGAACATTTGTTCATCTAAATATTCAGTAGAGAGGAAAAAGTATATTAACTAAAGGGGCATTCAACACAATTAAACTTACTTATTTTGCTTATGTCTAAATGTTTCGGTATCCAATCTAAATTCCAATATTTGTTCGATGAATCGTCTCTCAGGTTTAATTGGTGAGGATCACATTTGCTGACTAAGGAGATAATTAATGTTTTCAGTGACTGATGCAAATCGTCCTTCCACGTTAAATGTCCAATTTTGGTCACGGATGGCCGATCCGTAAGACTGACTTTACTATTTAAATTTTTATTCTCAGATGTCCACTTGTTTTTGTTGATTGGGAAAAAACGTTTTACATTCAACCATGCCAGATTTTTGGAATATTTTTTCTCTAAAAGACAAATTTTTCTAACTTTGCGCCATTGGTCTCCATGAATTCCATGGAGACGTTTTTGCAACCAAGGGCAGTTTTCATATGGACTTCTAAATTTGTTCATCGTTGGAACAGAAGTCAGTCTCGAATTCCTAGAATCAAAAGAATATTATGTGAATCCTTGATAGCAACAATAGAGACGGCAAATAATTCCTTAATTTTCAGTTGTTTTTCTTTCTTGAAACCTGCAATCGATTAGTAACTCTTCCCGTGTAAGAAGAAAAACGATAGACAAAATAACGTCGAGAAAAGCTTTTTGTGGAAAAAAATATGAATTTCTACAAAAATTTCAGAATTTTTTTCAAATTAGTCTACTTACTGAAATGAATAGTTCTCCAATGCTCGAGCCATTGTAGAATTTGTAATAGTTTTTTATTTGATAAATAATCAATAGCGATATAGTTTAATTTATACTTGCTGAAGCGCACTGGGAAAAAAACTCTGACACGATACATGAAACAATTCTGAGTCACTAAACAGTCCATTTTAAAAAAATCAATCAACGAAAGGAGCATACAAAATTTTACCAGTTCTGTTGCTTTTGGTCGTTTGCAGCAACCACTATGAGTCAGTATTCTTCGCGAAAATTCAATTTTTATTTCAACAACATTTGGATTTTTCCATGAAGAGAACTCAACGAACATTCAATATAATAAGATCATCTATGGCTGATCATTCTCATAATAATGCAGAAGCATATATAATCGGGACTGAAATTCAGTTTTTTTTCTACAATTAGCAGAAATCCTACAATCCAATTAAACATCACATAATCGTCTCAATTGTTAGAAAATGTATTTAGACAAGTGAACATCCGTATTGAGTTCGATTTTTTAAGATTGTTATTCAAATTATAAACGATAATGGAGGATGTGGATGAGGTGTGGTTAGGAGTGTGAATTTATTGTTATTGTTATTAATAACAATAACAAAAAAAGTTATTTGTTATTAATAACAAAAAAATAACAAATAACTTTTTTTCCCGAAAAATCTTAGTTATGCTTTGTTACTATGTAACAGTATACCAGTTCTGTTTGCTCATTATTGTCCGATTGCTCGATGATGTTACTGACCGCAATCTCCATTAGATAGCCTATGAAACTGAGAAAAATCCTAAAAAGATTTTTTCAAGTATCTTGCTCATCTATAGGCAAAATTTACTGATCGCTTTACGAGGAACGATTCCTCAATGCTCAATTGTCTTTGACTTGATGATTTGGTCAAATATAAGCCTTTGGGAGATGAGAAAATGTCTAGAAAGATTGTACAGATCATAACTCGAAAAATGGCACCTAGAATCTTATTTCGCAAAGACTTTTATTTGACCAAAACATCAAGTCAAAGGCAATCGAACATTGAGGAATCGTTTCTCGTAAACAGATTAGTAAATTTTACCTGTAGATGAGCGAGATACTTGAAAAAATCTTTTTAGGATTGTCCTCAGTTTCATAGGCTATCTAATGGAGATTGCGGTCAGTAACATCATCGAGCAATTGGACAATAATGAGCAAACAGAGCTGGTATACTGTTACATAGTAACAAAGCATAACTAAGATTTTTCGGGAAAAAAAAGTTATTTGTTATTTTTTTGTTATTTGTTATTGATAACAATAACTTTTTTTGTTATTGTTATTGTTATTAATAACAAAAAATAACAATAACTTCTCACCCCTAGGTGTGGTTGTGAGAGTCGATCCGCTTTTTCAACCGTAGCCACACAGACCCATCCGCACCCACACCCCACACCTTACAGGATTTCGGATCTATCTTCAACAAAACAAAAACTTTTCGAAAAAGCTTTTTTTATCACAATGCTTAGAATTAAAAGTTCTACAAACACTGACACTTTCTTCAAGTTCAAGATCACCTTTGTGTTAGCTTGGTTAAGATCTTGGAAAGAAGTAATCGCCTTTTTTTAATCATAAATGTAGTGTACGATGTTTCATCGAGATTTATTCAAGCTATTCAACTTTATCTGAGGAACTAGCTATAGGATTTTGTAGAGGAGACTTTGCTCTACAAAACTCACTACAGCACATTTCTCTACAACATAGCCTTTTTGAGTAAGGCTAACCAACTTTTTAGGCATGTTTCACGGTTATTCACGGAGTAGTTATTATTGAATAGTAGTCAATTTTACTGACAAAAAGGGTGGGTGTGGGTGTGGATTAGAGACCTGCGGGAACAACTTTTTTTGATTCCCGTTCCCGTGTTCCCGTTCCGTATTCCCGTTCCCGTAATCCTTTGAGAATAGCTACAATGATTTCATTATTCACATTCATCAACAATACTCCTACTTGATACTAGCTTTTAGCGACATCATGTTTCTCACAATACACGATTCCGTATATTAAAAGTAAATTTCTGATTCAAGGCTCATAAACCTATTGAAACTTGAAACTTCAGAATTGAAATTTCAATTGAAACTTAAAACTTCAGAATTGAAATTTCAATTGAAACTTGAAACTTCAGAATTGAAATTTCAATTGAATTAAAGTTTCAAGTTTGACATATATGTAATTTTGATGATCCCAACTTCGATGCCGACGACGACGATGGTGGTAAAGAATATCGTGATTCTCATAATCTATGTTTGAATGAACTTGTCTGATATTGTTGACTGATATTTGTTCTCTTTTCAACTATATTTCAAATAGTTATTGGAAATCGAATACTGTAAGATTAACAGATTTTAATGCAAACAGAAATCGGACATAGGGTTTGCCGGGAACAGAAATTTTTAATACAATTCCCGTTCCCGCGTTCCCGTTCCCGGAGTGTCCACCAGAATTCCCGTTCCCGCATTCCCGTCCCTGAGGTCTCACGGGAATTCACGTTCCCGATTCCTGCGGGAAACGGGACGGGAAAACACGGGAAAAAGTCGTTCCCGCAGGACCCTAGTGTGGATGTGTGGGTGTGGGTGGGCGTGGGTGTGGGTGTGGGATTGATAAGGGGTAGATTTAACTCACACCCACAAAGTTCTTTGTTACTATCATCTGACTGAAGATCTACATCTGCTCTTATAATACATTTGTTAAAATAGTTGTTATACGATGTATTGTTTTCGGTTGAAATAACATCGAAACTATTTATGAATTAAAGATTATGATAACTATTAACCCTTAAGAGCCGAAAGGCCTTATCGCCACAAATTGAAAAAACTAACCACTCAACTAGAAGTTCTAAGACCCCAATAAGAATTATTTATAGTAAAAAGGAGAAATTTTTTTTTCTTATGGAGATATAAAATGTCCCTTGGAAGGAACATTGGGTCTTAACGGTCCAAATTTTTCACTATTCCTGGTTTATGTGAACAGAGTTTTTTTCACCGAATACTTTTCTTTATGTATTTTTTGATACACGAAGGATCAATTGAAGCAATATTTCGCAGTTTTTCAACATTTACGCACTTTCTGTTTCATTATTATGCTTGCCCATGGGGTCAGCCAAGTATCGGCGAGTCAATATTAGCTATGAGGAAACGATCATCTTATACTTGCGCTAATGGTTTTACTTCACCATCGAAGTGGTTATTAAATGCTCTACGAGAGTAGAACCAGGACTACCGTGACGGATTCAGAATTAAAGCCAGGCTAGTATCTTCACCACAAGTGAAGAAAATTTAAGGATCATCGAAAATTTCCGACAATTGGAAGGAGTAAGTGTCCTCTCCCTTGATTCTCCGCTCACGACAGGCCTTATTAAGATCAAAAATAACCAAAAAATCGCTCGAATATTACTTTAACAATTCTTGGACTGTTCGGATATTTTGGTCCGTTATGACCCAATGTCCCTTCCAAGGAACGTTTCCTTTAAGAGGTCACAATGCATCAATTGATCAATGAAAACATTGTGGGATGGTTTTCTACGATAGTCTAATGATGTACCTCGCGATACCGCTTAAAAAAAATAGACTTTCTTCTCGTATTCAGCAATAAAAAGATGTTTCAAAATGAAAATTTGACACCTAAAAAATTACA